AATCTGCACCAAAATCTCTAGATTTAAAAGGAGCCTGCTGATGAATCAGCAGGGGGGAGCCCGGTGTCTGTTCAAAAGTTTAAAATTTCGCGTTTCAAAAGTTTCGGGCAAGGCGATCAAGGCTCGGGGGAGGCACCTGCAAAAGAGGTTGGAAGTCCAAACTAGGGGGAGCTCATCGTCAGAAATGTCAGCCTGGAACATTTTAATAAAACTTGGAAGCCAAATTTCCAAGTGTAGATCTGGGACGAGATCAACAAGTGCACAATTCAAGGGCAAGATCCACGAGGGGGGATTGCGCATCTTGAAGAACACCAACAGGAAGAAGGTGACCACAGCAACAAGCAAGTCCCTGGCAAGAAAACTGGGATGTCTTCGCGGCGCATGCAAGTGCGTGGCAGACGTGGAAAAAGTGGCAGGCAGGCATGCCCGACGAGGATTGGGAGCCGGCCCAAATCAAGGAAGGAACTGTGGGGGGTCGCCGTTGAGAGGCTGATCCAAATTTCTGCTGAAGTTCATCGCATGGAGGCCGAACCGGTTCTGGACAAGTTGGATGCGGGATCTGCGACGCTGTTCTTGAAAAAGAAGGACACTCCTGGACAAGAACACCATCCTGAAAAAGAAGGGATAAGTATAAGGGTATCCTTAAACGAGGTAATGGGTCCACCAGGGGTATTTCTAAACCCAAACGGGTTGGATCTACATCACCGTCATGCTCCCCAAGAGCAGAGTCAGGAAAAAAGAGGGATGCCACCCCAAGATCGTCGTTCGATACGTTCAAAACGGTCAGGGGGAGGCCCTCAGCAAATATCCTGTCAGGTCCAAAGAAAAAGAATACGGCGCGGTGGAAGATATCGTGAAGATCAAGCACAATGTCATTTCATTGTCGGGGAGAAGAACATCCAGCAACAACAGCATCAAGTACTTGAGGACGAAAGAACACCTCAGAAAAAAGAAGATCGCGCACAAGAAGAACCACAAGCTGAAAGGGTGGAACAAAAATGGATCGGGTACACGGTGTTCCCGGACAAGTATGATGGAAAAAGGGGGGTTGAAAAGATTCCGCGAAAAAAGTGGACCTTATGAAGAGGCACCAACAGAGAAACTTAGCGCTATCACCGGAAGAGGAACAACAGCTGCTGGAGCCAAAGACCATCGCTGGCGAGTCGTGCCAAAAAACATCAGCGGCTGCTGGGCGGTCTTCGGCGGCGGCTCAACTTTTGCTCTTTCTGGCGGCAGCCAAGGCAGTGAATTCAATAGAGCTTGGAAGATCCGGAACAATGCATGGATCGACCATGATCGACCGTTCAATTTTTTCCTGCGAGGGTAGGAAATAGTGCTTTAAGTTTTTGGAGTTTTTGCCCGAAGAGGCACTCCACGTCTAATGGATGAAGGGGGAATCAGCACCGTCTGGGTTCTTGGCTCACGAGGGTCCTTCGCCCTTCTGGCTGGGGGAAGGGCGCGTTCCCAGTGAAGACGGCCACCCATGAACTTGTTGTTTGGGTGTTGATGAACCTGGATTCCTGCAAGCAGGAAGGGGGAGTGCGGTTGGGAAACCAGCACAGAGTACCATTGCAACCCCATAAGAACGTTTTTTGAAGCTTTCCATGGTCGTTGAGACGTCCTTGGACTGTGGCAACTATGGCTCAAGGCTCAAGGCTCAAGTACCGAGCCCAACTCAGAGAGAAAAGGTACACCTTGCATCTGCCTCTTGGTGGGGTTCTCTGGGAAGGGACTTGGTGTAGTGTGAAACCCGTGAATACAATATAATATTGATATAATCTAATTAACACCATATGTTATATTTTATATACTACCAGCCAGTAATATATATATATAATTATATATATATTTATATATATACATATATATATACATCACATCGGTAACATCTGCATATATCAGCCTCAAATTGTCTCGCCTGGTCGACAGCTGCATCTTTTCCCTGCCGTCGGAGAAGACCTGTCACGACATGTCAAGATGCTGAGAATCAAGTCACGAAAGATGAAGAAAGATACGAATCAGTCGTCGACTCGTCGACCATTACGCGTCACATGTCACATTGCGCGCGGATGCGGAAAAAAAAGCACCATGATGATCATGATGTGATGGATGTCAATGGTGCCATGATGCGAACGGCAATGCCTGTTTCATCTCTGCCGGTAGCCAATGTGTCATCACATGAATCTCTCCAGTGATGTTGGGGGTTTGCTGACCGTCCTGGCGCAGCATGGCGCTTCTGCGAAGCTTCCAAAGTCAACATATCACTGTTCCTTCTGTTGCATCTCACTTGCCACCAGCTGTTCCACGTTTCCGTTTGCTGTTCCTTCTCAATCTTCTCATGTTCCTTCTCTGTTTTTTTGTTCCTCCTCTGTTCTTCCTGCTGTTCTCTTGCAACTTGTGCTGTGTTCTTCTCATATTTCTTCGTGCGAGAATGCTGTCAACATCTGCCTACCAAAGCGACGGTGAGATCTTATTGTGTGACATGCACCGCGGGGACGCGGAGTCTTTGATGTTCACCAGCGGGAGCCAAAGGTTCTTGAAGCGCTGCTCCGGATTCGTCAGGAACTGCCTTGACGCAACGAGCAGTGCTGAGTAATTCAAAAAAAACATGACAACATTGTGAAAGGACTTCACTTTTCCCCTGTGGTTTCTTTGGCAGTGTGAATACCCTCAGTCTTCATTGGTTTGGACTCGAAATGTTGATCTTCATGGGAGGCCTTCACTGGGCTTGAAAAGTAAAGCATATAGAGGGTCACTACTTCTCTTCTTGGATCGTCGAGGGTCATGCTAGACTCTATCTCTATGGGTGGGGGTGGGTGGGTGGAACTCAACCTGAGGCCAGATTGTATGATGAGGTTGCCTCGCATGTACAATCTTTTGTGCAGTTTTTTAGATCTTTTGAGCATTTTTAGCATGCTGCCTCGCCTCAGTACAGTACACTCTGCTGCGTCTCTGTCATTGCAACGGTGGAAATTAGAAACTTCAGTGACGGATCTTCCGGAACTCTGGGTAAACGCACTCCTCGGTCACTGGAATTTGGATGAGACCAATTCTTGTAGCCGAAAAAACGGCTGCTTGCATCACCTGAAGCCAAAGGATGTGACAAAATGTGGCAAATGCCATCAAATGCCTACCAATTAGGCCTAATGGTCAACACAGGTAGGCACCTCTGCATGTCAACTGCTTACCAGAAATTGACGGCATCTTGGTGTCGTATACGCCTACAGTGTAAAACTCAGAAAACCATGAAAAAGTGAAAGAGGTACTTGCGAAACTTCGTGAAGTCTCCGTGCTACCCGTACTGTCCAGCACACGAACCAAGACATGAGGATGCAACAAAATCCCTTCTCTTAGCAGCCTTAGCATCTCCTTCTACCCTTGGCGACTGCTCTACAGTTCCACCAATTCTGAAATTAAAAAGAAAAGCCTGTCCCATCTGTTGGTTTTCGGAAAGGTTTTGAACAATTTCAAGTGCAAGACCGCGTAAAAGGCGCGGCCAATCAACGCCTCAAACTCCAGCAGCAGTCTGGGAAACTTGTCAGGATCGATCATGCCAGTTCGGAACGTCCAGCCTGGAGTGATACGGATGGTGACCACACGGTGCATTGCGGGTGCAGGCATGGGACCACTTTGGTTGATCAACCAACGTGCACTGCGGGATTTTCGAAGTATCACTGATGCAACAGCTATCAAGGTGTGTTGAATCTAATCAAACCTCACAAAGCATCATGTCAAGTGATGTCATGTCAAGTCATGTCAAGTCATATCATGTGGCACATGCTTCCAAAACTGAGAGGACAGAAATGACATACAAATATACACATGACACACAGGATGAGGATTTGGAACTACAAAGAATGCAAAACAAATCAAAACAGCATTTTAAAAAATGAAAATCGATGAAAATCGATATTTGATGATATTTGTAGATTTTAGGTGATTAGTTTAGGTGATTTTCGTCGTTTTGTCCCAGCTGTCCCAGCTGTCCCACGCCTCCTGCTGCCTCCAGTTCCGACTCCCGGGCCCAGACCGGCGAATCGGTCCCGTTGATAACCTCAGACGTAGCCCAAGGCGTGTGCCATGCGTGTAGCCATGTGTAGCCCTCGTGGATCTGCATGGATCATGGTGCAAGGTGCAAAATGGGTTTGGCTTTGCAAAAGCAATGGCTCCTTGCCCTACGACGTCTGTGGTTTGAACACGAAGGAAAGCACAATGTGGAAACATGTGAGAACAATATATGACTCAAAGAAAGCTACAGAAACATACAGGCTGCACCAGGCCCAGTCTTCAAAAGGCCAAAGCGATGGAAACCAGAAGAGCAGGGTCAACATTCGAACGATGCCCTTGTGTCCAGAACATGCACAAGCAGATTCCGAATAGATCCGAACAGCATATTGTAATTTATCAATGAATGAGGGAGTGGAGAATGAATGCATGAACGAATGAATGATAATGAATGAATAGTGAATGAGACTAATTTACCGATATCTTGTTCCCTGAACAAATCACGTCTTGTGGAAATCGATTGAGTGTTAGTACGGTATCTGTAATTTCGGGATCTTTGGGGCGCACATTTATTGAGGAAAATGATGGACTTTGAGGTGACTGATGTAACAGATGTAAATATAGGGCTATCGGTACAGTGTCGTCCTCCGCAGTGAAGGTTTCACACACACCGCAACAAGGCGAGGCAAGACTGAATTGGCGAGACAATAGTCTTGTCATGTCTTGTCGGTTGCTCATATAATTCTTGAGTCCTTGAGAATGTCCTGAATACATAGTGGCGTGGAGCAGCTGTGAACTAGATCATGTCGTGTAGTTCAATCCGGTTCAATCGCCTGCGGTGTCAATAGGAGATGGAGATGTTTGGCTCGTGGGTAACCGGGTAATTGCGCTTCACACTGGGCCTACAGCATGTTGAACACAGGACCCTTGTCGTATATTTTCACAAAAGCTGCTGGAACAATTTCGCTCTACCACAATTCTACAGAGATAGTTAGATAAGATAGAGATAAGGAAATCCACGGCAAAGTCTATCACAAGGCTCCCAACCGACGAGATTTGTACTTTTTGTCCACGGTAGGGAACAACCTGAAATCTTCCACATTGCAGGCACAAATCATATGTCAACATCATCAACATATGTCAAAATCAGGCACTGTTCATATGTTCTGCACTGTTCATTCATATCTGCATATGCACTGTTCACTGTTGCATTTGCATTTCGTTCATAGTGTTTGTTGCACAGTGTTCTGCATTGAAATGTTGTCGTCACAGTTGCATCGCCTCCGGTCGGCCAGGTTTTTCTCCCGGAGCTGCCTGAAACCGCGACAGCCGTGCCACCATGCTCTTGGAAGGCCCGTCGGCCGTGTGTTGGTCGTTGTTCCGTTGCAGCTCAACCATCGCGTTTTCGAGGCAAGGCATGATACGCGTGTGGCATCATGATCATCATGTAACATCGCGACTTGCTCAGGCAGCAGCTACAGTACGGTAGTAGGTTTTGACATTTTTTGACGCTTTGCAGGCTGAGCAGCAGTTGGCGGTTAGACGGTTAGCAACTGTGCAGCGGAGCCCAACTCTGCAGAGTTCCCATGCCTCTGTTGGATGCAGCATCCGGAAGTTCACAAAGGTAGCGATGGGGCTGCCGTTGGGTGTCTGCTTCGGCATCCGTCCATCCGTAGTTCCCATCAGTTCTGGCCTGAGCTACACCGAACTACGCCGAATGCGGGAAGTTCAGAGAGCAACGCTGAGCTTCTTCGAATCAAACTTGCAACATCTTGCAACCGTTTGCTAAATGCCACAAATGCTCCTGCCAATCAAGCTTGTAATATCTTGTAATCTTCGCTCTAAGCTCCAAGCAAATAGTCCGGGCCCAGCATCTGATTCGACTGCGATGGATCTCCTTCTGTTCGACCCTTGGACCACCTGGAGCAGTCCACAAGGCGTGGCTTTTGCGTGTGAGATCAAGTCATGTCGAGCGGATGTGACATGTCACTCAGTCCAATTCTGAATTATGCATGGCGTCCTATGACATGAAATGAGGAGAGGTTGAATAATATTCCATGGCTGAACCTCTTACACAAGAAACAATCAGCAACAAAGTTGAAATGGAACCGAAATTCACATCTTCGCATCTAAAACGTGTCCAACACACGTCAGGATTCTGAATCGAAGTCCTGACAAATTCCATCATATTCCATCTCTACGAGTCATGCCATAGAGTTGGATATTTGGCCAAGGGACGACTCATAGAGAGCAATGGGGTCGGATTGCAACACCGTGTTCAACGCTGACTGCAAAGGCTTCAAGCGACGAGCCTCAACCAACAGCACCTGATGGCGTATCGCACAAATGCAAGTGGGATAAAGTGGCAATGTGAAGTGGCCAACAAAAATACTTTGCACATCTTTGCACGTTTATCTGGTGTTACGCGTTTTTCCTGTGAAAATTAAATCCCTGATGTGACGTTTACGTGACGTTTACGAATGTCAAAAGACTCAAAAGGTGTTGCACATGCTATGGCCCAATGGCCGGGTGCCCTTGGGCTCTACACTTCAACACATAGGGCATAGGGATTCAAGCACTTCAAATACATACGTTATCGAAGGAAGTTTAGAAGTCAAACTTCCGACAATATGGACAGATGAAAAGCAGAGCAGGGCAGAGGCAGAGAGAAGAGAAAGATTAGAAGAGAGAAGATCAGAGAAGAGAAAGAGTCAGAAGAAAGAAGATGCAGATGCGCGAAAAGGTAGGAACGTCGCGAAACACAATGTTTTTCCAATGATTTGAGGCTCCGGATGGTCGAAAAGTAGGCTCGCTAAAGCGGCGGGTGCGGAGCCAGCTGGCCAGATGAGAGATGAAAAATTGCACGCCGTTGTGGCGCGAAGCACATTTCCAAGTCAAAATGCACAAAACACACCAGCTCCGGACCACTTTGGCAGTTGAGATGTCGAAAAAGTGCACGCCGTTGTGGCGCGAAGCACATTTCCAAGTCAAAATGTACAAAGCACACCAGCGTCGGACCACTTTTGGCAGTTGAGATGTCGAAAAAGTGCACGCCGTTGTGGCGCGAAGCACATTTCCAAGTCAAAATGTACAAAACACACCAGCGTCGGACCACTTTTGGAAGTTGAGATGTCGAAAAAGTGCACGCCGTTGTGGCGCGAAGCACATTTCCAAGTCAAAATTGTTAAAAACTGACGGTTTCGGACCACTTTTGGAGGTTCAGATGTCGAAAAAGTGCACGCCGTTGTGCCGCGAAGCACATTTCCAAGTCAAAATGTTAAAAACACCAGGGTTTCGGACCACTTTTGGAGGTTCAGATGTCGCTTCGCTTCGCTTCGCTACACTACATTACACTACACTACACTCCACAACACTACACTCCACTACACTACACTACATTACACTACACTACACTCCACTACACTACATTACACTACACTGCGCTACCTTCCACTACACTTCACTCAACGTACACTACATTACACTAAACTGCGCTGAAAGTGAAAAGAAAAGGCAAGAAAGGAACACCGAAAAAGGAAAAAGAAAAAAGAAGAAGCAGGATACGAAAATGTAGAATCGAGAGTAAGAGAAAAAGAAAAAGCAGAAAAAAAAGGGAAAAGAAAAGAAATAGATCAAGTTGAAAGAAAGAAAAAGGTAAAAGAAAGGAAATAAGAAAAGGAAATAGAAAGGAAAGGAAAAGAAAAGGAAAAGAAAAGAACATAGAAAGTGAAAAGAAAAGAAAGGAAAAGAAAAGTGGAAAGAAAAGAAAAGATAAAAGAAAAGAAAAGAAGGTTAAAGGACAAAGAAAAAGGAGGACAAAGACAAAAGAAAAAAAGAAAAGAAAATAAAAAAAGAAAGAAAAGAAAAGAAAAGAAACAAGGGAAAAAAAAGAAAGAAAAAGAAAAGAAAAGACACTAAAACGGAAAAGAAACGAAAGGGCAAAGAAAAGACAGGACAATAAAAGAAAAGAAAGCGAACAATACAAGTCACGAAAGGGTACAGTGAAATAAACTACAACTGACCACTAAACTAAAACGACAAATAAACAAAGACAAGACACGAAAGAAACGGAAACATAATACAGGGTAAAAGACAACTACACTACACTAAAAATACACACAGTACACTACACTACACTACCTTTCCACTTTACACTCAATACATGACACTGACACTTACACCTCCAATAAACTAAAAATAAAACTACAAAACTACACTTCCCACTACACTCCACACAATTAAATTACAACTACACTACATTACAACTACACTAAATTCCACTAACAATCCACTACACTTTACAGTACACTACACTACATTACACTGAATGACACTGCCACCACAGAAGGACAGGTTATAGACAGATAGCCAGATAGACAGATAGACAGATAGACAGATAGACAGATAGACAGATAGACAGATAGACAGATAGACAGATAGACAGATAGACAGATAGATAGATAGATAGATAAACAGATAGACAGGTAGACAGCTAGACAGATAGACAGATGAAAGAGAGAGAGAGAGAGATAGATAGATAGATAGATAGACAGACAGACAGATAGATAGATAGATAGATAAACAGATAGACAGGTAGACAGCTAGACAGATAGACAGATGAAAGAGAGAGAGAGAGATAGATAGATAGATAGACAGACAGACAGACAGATAGATAGATAGATAAACAGATAGACAGGTAGACAGCTAGACAGATAGACAGATGAAAGAGAGAGAGAGAGAGAGAGATAGACAGACAGACAGACAGATAGAAAGATAGATAGATAGGTAATTAGATGGAAGAGAAAGAGAGAGAGAGATAGATCGATAGATAAATAGATGCATAGATACATAGATAGATGGATAGATAGATAGATCGATCGATAGATAGATAGGTAGGTAGGTAGATAGTCAGAGAAAGAGAGAGACAGAGAGGAGACCTCAAGCACCTTTCGGTCCATCAGTGGCTTCGCTCTGCCATCCCTGATTCACAACAACCAACCTCTCCTATAGGTTTCCTATTTTTGAAACTTCCGCCACCGCCTTGTGCGGTACTACTGGTACATAGAGTATACACACTAGATTCCTAGATTCCTACATTTGTTCAATCACAGCGTCTCCAAATTACTGGCCAGGAGGATGCGGAATGTGTCAGAGTTCTTGAAGCTCTTCAGATGCATTTCATCACAGCCAGGCAGCGATGCAACAACGCAAACACCCAAGAAAAAGGGAGTTTTGTGATATTTTGTGATACTGGACAACTGGCCAAAATGGTTCCACAAACTGGTTCCACAATCCTTGAAAGACATATGTGTCTCAAGTCTTGATTGGTTGCCAATGAATACAATGTCGGAAAAAATAGAAAAGACAGGCCGCCTTTGTGCAGCTTGACATAGCTTGAGGCTTTTAACCCATGGAAATTTACGGGCCTTGACAGTGCCCTTGATTTTCTGTGTCCAATTCGGTCAAGAGACTTCCAGCTGTCCGCCGGATTTGTAGAGCTGCCGTTGCCGTGGAACGGCGGCTGCAGTTTGTTGCTTTTGATACTCCAGCATCTTCGAGGCCTGAGGGCAACCAGCATCCCAGCATCCGATTGCCGATAATGCTGATTCGTTAACTTGGGTGAGATATGGTGAGTATGGTCTGTTAGATGAGCTTCACATAGTCTCACTGCTGATTAGATGGATGCAGACTAATACTAAGACCAAGATTACCTAGGTAAAACCTGCCGCCACTACCACAATTACCCTTGTATGCTGTTGCATGTTTGAACCTAAGAGAAGAACTGTGCCTATATGACCATTGTGGAGACCATTTACTTCATGAAATTTCTGTAGTCTTGCAAGCAACCAAGTTGGAAGACATCAGGCAAGACTACAGCGATTTCACCCTGGCAATTGCAGAGTAGATTTTGAGAAACGATGTAACACTCCCACTATCCCACACTATCCCACACTCCCATAATCCAAGGGAACACGGGAACCTGCTGGTAGTGATCTACTCGGACGCATCGTCGCAACATGGCCACGAAATGGTACATCTCAAACCTCGCAGGTCTCAACATGTCTCAACACGGTCTCACTTGCTGCACTGCAGATGCATCGTATCGATTCGTATCGTGTGTATCGCGTCTTCGGGTGTCCGCACTCGTTGGGAAAGCGCAGCCGAACACTGAACTCGTAGGTGCAGCAGGCGGGACTCGCATCTGGTGGCAACGGTCCAGCTGCAAGCCGATACCTCGGCGAATTTTGAAGCTTTCAAAGGTTTCTGTATCATTTCTGTATCATTCTATACATCTTTCTATTTTTTTAATGTGCGCAATAAAAAGAAGGTTCTAAAGTTCTACACATTAAAGGTGTGCTTCAAAGGTGTTTCACATGTCAAAACCTAGCCTTGTGAACACTGAAATAGCTTGAAAATATATGTCCGTCCCCCCAAACTGAGATATTGACTTATCCCTTTACAATGCATATAAAACCTGAATTTCTTAGCACAATAGCAGCCGGTAAGCAACAAATGGCAACAGTGTCTTGGCGCACCATGATGCACTTCCCGCAATGTATCTAGCATCCCTTTGCACTACGACGCGCAATGTATCTAGTTTCCCCAAGACTTTTAACACGTTTCTTGCCCTGCATCCAACTTGTTTGAGCAGCACCAGGAACACCGGGCACACAGGATACAAACAAAAACCTATAAAAAAAATTCTGCACACTTCCAGATTTCCACCCTGACATTGAATAAGTACATCTACTGGGTCAGTGAGTGAGTTTGTGAGTTGGAAAGGTAGTGACTGAACTTATCAGTTGGTTTTTTGTCGTCCTTCACTTGGACGTTTCAGTCGGCTCCCTTGACTCACTTGGCTTAACCACCGGCTGAGGTCTTGGCTCGTAGAGCTGGTCTTTGGGCGCGTTCCTCAAACTGGGAACCACCGAAAATACATGGACAAATCGTGGACAAATCGGGCAAACTTGAGGCCAGAGGGTACCAGTGTTGTACCCGAGCCTGCTCAGCTGAAAGAAAAAAACTGGAAAAGGAATGTACACACAGAGGCCCCTTTTCAGCCTTAAGATCACCTGCGCACGCAGATGAAAATCACATGTACACACCAGCGCGCCCACGATCACATGTACACACAAGCGAGTTCATCTGCGCACGCAGACGTCGATCACATGTACACACAGCGATCACATGTGCACACCACTACTCTTAGACGCCTTTAGGTTTAGGTCTTGTTGCGCTAAACCATGATCTCCATTCGACTTCTTTATTTAAACTTCCCCCCCTGCGTTCCACTAAGCCATTGTCTCCATTCTACTTCTTTATTTAAACTTTACCCCCCTGCGTTCCACTAAACCATTGTCTCCATTCTACTTCTTTATTTAAATTTCCCCCCCTGCGTTCCACCAAACCATGGTCTCCATTCGACTTCTTTATTTAAACTTCCCCCCCTGCGTTCCACTAAGCCATTGTCTCCATTCTACTTCTTTATTTAAACTTTACCCCCCTGCGTTCCACTAAACCATTGTCTCCATTCTACTTCTTTATTTAAATTTCCCCCCCTGCGTTCCACCAAACCATGGTCTCCATTCTACTTCTTTATTTAAACTTCCCCCCCTGCGTTCCACCAAACCATTGTCTCCATTATACTTCTTTATTTAAACTTTACCCCCCCTCCGTTCCACTAAACCATTGTCTCCATTCTACTTCTTTATTTAAACTTCCCCCCCCTGCGTTCCACCAAACTCCTGTCTCCATGCTACTTCTTTATTTAAATTTCCCCCCCTGCGTTCCACCAAACCCTTGTCTCCATTCTACTTCTTTATTTAAACTTCCCCCCCTGCGTTCCACTAAACCATTGTCTCCATTTTACCTTTTAGGCAGATAGATAGATAGATAGATAGATAGGTAGATAGATAGATAGATAGATTGATAGATTGATAGATAGATAGATCGATCGATCGATCGATAGATCGATCGATAGATAGATAGATAGATACATAGATAGAGAGATAACTTACATTAAAGACGTTTCCTATTCGCGTGTAGTTGCGATCTTGGCCGCGCAGATAGCCTGCTTCCACCAACTTCCACGCATGGTTGCAGATAGAAACGTCACATATACCACAAGTCTCTATCTTCATTGGTTTTTACAAGGAAAAAAGAGACGTTGCCTATTCGCGTGTAGTTGCGATCTGGCCGTGTGTACATGCGATTTCTCCCCTAAGTCGTTCGCGTGTACATGCGATTTTGATTTTGCGTGTACATGCGACCCCCCGACCGGATTGAGATCCAAACAGAGAAAGCGGTTGATGAATAAGATGATGATGATGATGATGACGACGACGGCGACGACGACGACCACGACCACCACCACGACCACGACCACGACCACGACGACGACGATGATGATGCTGATGACGATCACGATGACGATGACGATGACGATGACGACGACGACGACGACGATGATGATGATGATGATGATGACGACGACACTGCTTAATGAAGATGAAAATGAAGAATGTGAAAACACAGATGGCGATGAAGATGACAAACCTGCACCTACCGCCAAACCACAGACAGGCGGGGATTGAACCCAGGGGGGGAGTATAACCTTAAGTTTCTAGGGATTGGACTACTGCCTACTCCTTGCGTTTTCGTGATGTAAATTTGCTACACCCCGCCAATTTTTTGCGCTGTCAAATGATGCAACGCCTTGTTTGTACTCAAAATGGGTTGGTGGTATTGGCGGGATGAGAGATTGAAATTGAAGTTTAAAGTGTTTAGAAAATACCATATATTCCAACATTTTGTCCGACATCTATTCTGATAATCCATGTGGCATATGCTCTGACATTTTAGCTGGCAGGTGCTCTGACAGTTCACTTCGCCCGTATTCTGACAAGTCCTCTGGCAATCTATCTAACACGTATACTGACATTCTCAGTGTAATTCTTTCTGGCATTCTATCTGGCAATCTATCCTCGCGTTCTATCTGGCATCGAATCTAACATATACGTTGGAATTCTACCTGACTAATTGTTTAACTAATATTATTTATATAATTATCTGCCATCCATCTGGTATTTTATCAGGCATCCTGCGTCTTATCTGGCATTCTGTCCCCTTCTCTGTCTGGATTTTTCTCGCAGTCTATTTGACTTTCTATGTGGCGATTTCTTGGCATCCTATCTGGCATCCTATCTGACCTATATTCTGACATGTTATTTGTCGTTTTTCACGTTTTATCTCGCATTTTTTCCGGCATTTGTTTGTGTCATTCTGTCCCACCCACCTGACGCTATACCTGGCATCATTCTATCTGACTTTCGATTGAATCAATCTGACATTTTATTTTACGTCCTACCTGGTGTTTTGATATCTCGCATTTTACCTGACATATACTTTGAACTATTTTGACATTTTATCTGGCATTCTATGTGACATTCTATGTGACATTCTAACAAAACTGCTCCGGGCAGGCCGACAGACTGCTGGCCAGATCGGAGCTGGCGATACACGCGAGAGGCAAGAGGAAGATAAGGGAGGAGCAACCTACAGACTTTAGTCACAATTTTCTGGAGTCACCATGTCACAATGGGGAGACATCGCTAGGACCCCGTCACAGCAGGGTCACAGCAACAATGCAAAACACAATGGGAATGCCTGAAAATTGTCTTCTTTCATTTCACATCGTTGATCACTCTCTCACTCACTCTCTCACTCATTCTCTCACCCATTCTCTCTCTCTCTCTCTCTCTCTCTCTTGTGCATGGATTGCTGGAACGACACTCCTTGGGGAAAGTGGTGCCTGTTCGAACGAGACCCCGAACGAGACCCGAACAAGACCCTGTGGGAACCCTTTTGGCCAATCTATAGACAATTGGCCAAAAAGCAAAACATGCAGCGGTGTTTTCATTGCCTATATTTCTTATAAATAAATATGCATATACTTAATATCTAATATATATATATATATTTATTTATTTATTTACTGATGTATTTATTTATTTATTTTGTTTGTTTATCTGTACATATATATATATATACATATATATATATATATTTATTTATTTATTTACATATCCGCCGACCCCGGCCGACGCAAGGGGGAGTGCGTAAGGGAAGAAGATGGAAGAAAAGGACTTGCAGCAGCCAGCAGGCATGTTTGCCTCCGAGGCAGCAGCAGCAGCAGCAGCATTGAGCAAGAGCAACAGCAACAGAACTAGCAACAGCAACAGCAGCAACAACAACAACAAGAACAACAAGAACAACAACAACAAGAAGAAGAAGAACAACAACAACAACAAGAACAACAAGAACAATAACAAGAACAATAACAAGAACAACAAGAACAACAACAACCACAAAGACAAACATAAACCCAAACAACAACAAACAACACCAAACAACAACAAACAACAAGAAACAACAACCAACAACAACAAACCATGACCCTTTGCCAGGGGACTCTCTTGGGTCCCCCTCTCACCGGTCACGTACCTCGATTCCTTGACTCCGGGGTTTTTGTTTCACAATAACAAGAACAACAAGAACAAGAACAACAACAACCACAAAGACAAACATAAACCCAAACAACAACAAACAACAATAACAAACAACACCAAACAACAACAAACAACAAGAAACAACAACCAACAACAACAAACCATGACCCTTTGCCGGGGGACTCTCTTGGGTCCCCCTCCCACCGGTCACGTACCTCGATTCCTTGACTCCGGGGTTTTTGTTTCACCGGTGGGGGGTCCTTCCCGGAGTCTCCTCGAAGTACGTGGGGCTCCTTGGGTTGCCGTGGTGTTTCAGGCTGGCGGGTTCGGCGTTTTGCCGGGTCAGAAGCTGTAAGTTGAAGAGCTAGTTGAAGAGCTAGTTCTCTAGGATTTCAGAAGGGACGTTAGGGAGTTTTTTGGTGCGATTTGGCGGCTTCTTCGTCCTTCAGTGCCATGGTGTTTCAGGCTGGCGGGTCCGGCGTTTTGG